AGTGGATAAAAACTAAACTATGGGCCATTGCTTAGCTCATATAAATATTTTAACAATAACTGCCTCTTTTCTCTTCCTATTACCTCACTTTCACTTCTAGTGCCCTTATCCTATATTCCTTGCTCTAATTTCCTGAATATAGTATGTAAAAGCAAATGCTGTGTACATTTCGATGATGTTACTTTCACATCCGTGGATAATATTTTCATCTGTATGTGAAATGGATATATTTAGATTCATATAGATAGTGTAATACCCGCTTTATATATATTTCATATATATCTTCGACGTCAATGCTCTTGAATTGAACAAATGAAAGCTTTATACATTTATTGCTTATACACCTGCAGAAATTGCTGCTTGCACACAATAATAATAATAACACACACACACACACACACACACACATGTATATACATAAACTTATGTATCATCTGTTATATAAAAACGAAATTATATGTATATTATATTAAAACAGTATATGATATAAATATATCTATCCCATATTATGTACAGCACTTCTGTCTCTTCAGAATTTCTGGATGCCTTATGCATTATAAACACCTCTCGTGATAGAGCATGCCTTCTTATAATAATTAATGCCTTTGTCATGCAGGAACAGGGATAGCATAATTTGGAAATGTTATACTACCGATTTGTGAGAGAATATCATAAACATTTATTTATGTTTAGAACAAATGACACTATGAAATCAATTAAGACCAATACTGAATGTTTAAACCAATCCCCTAGATCTCCATCATTCAAAACCATAAACGTTTCTGATCAAATGTTTCCTTTGAAAATATTTCTTACAGCAACATTTGTTTTATAGATTAATGTGTGTTTTTACGAAATAAAGAACTCTTTACTTCCTGTGATGCATTGCAAGAGGCCTTGTAGAAAACATTGGTTGTAAATAACCAAAAATATCTACATATATGTACTACTTTACATTTATAACGAACTTTCATTTCCTTTCATTATATGACCACTTTTCATACTTTGATATATAGCCCGTGTTCTCAACATGGAATCATCTGTGTTTTATTGTCATTGGTTCCCTGTCTTCATCTGATACATTATTATTTGCAAAACAGTCCAATAATTTTTGGGGTAGAATCTGCTAGGAGTATTAAGTCCATATGCATATAGAAGAGTAATAATGTTATACATTAACACCCTAGGCATATATACCTTAAATCCAACAAACTAATGTATTTTAATGCGAGTGCAAACCTTAAACGAAATGCATATTTAATGCATCATCCTCAAACTATTGTGAAAATGTGTGCGTTACCAGATCTTTGTTGCACACAATGAAAAGGAACTGGGCTTAAAGACAACCTTGGCGTACAACAACTTCGATAAAAGTATTCAGACAATTTAAATCCAACTTTAAAAGGTGCAATCGTCGCTTTAGCTTGTTCATATATATCTTGTTGTATTGCGAAGATATTACTATATACGTGTCAACCATCAACGTGTTGTTTTTCAAACCAACAAGGCACAATATATAATCACCGCCTTCTTGTTTTATGTTTCATTGTACGTAATGCGAAAGTCAGTGAGGCGCAGTGTGCATTATTTGCACTTATGTGTTATATTTAGGAAGATGACAGCGAGTATTTATTGCTGTAATATGGTAGCGTGTTCGCACTGAAGACTCGCTGTTCGACTTCCCACATGGGTACAATGTGTGAAGCCCATTTTCTGTAGTGTCCCCCATAGGTGAGCTTGCCGGGGAATATTATTGCTAAAGCGGCGTAAAACCATACTCACTCACTCACTTGAGTCAATATCTTTACTCAGATTAATAATCGGCGCATATGCATATACTTTAAGTACAGCATAATTATTGAAAATGAAGCATAGCTAACTTTGCGGATGTAAACCTTGTTTATTGTATGGGAATAACTTTTCGATGTAGATTAACCACTAGGCTACCCCACCGCCTTGGTGCTGTTGACAATAGCAGGGTAAATTGAAGTGAGGTTTACATGGCGGTATCACTCTTGTTTGTTTCTTTTGTTGTTTTTACGCCGCACTGAGCAATATTCCGTAATACATGACTTGATCTTGAAATAATCGAGTCTGGACCAGACAATCCAGTGATGAAACGCATGAGCATCAATCTACAGAATTAGGATACAATGACGTGTCAACCAGGATGACCTGACCAGCGTTAGTCGCCCCTTTACCACAAGTGATGGGTTGCTGAATACAATTCTTGGCGCGTACTCTTTGAAGCCAAAGACATGTTTAAGTGTAATAAAAACTAAAGCTATGGACATTAGCTTAGCTCATATAAATATTTTAGCCAATAACTGTCTTTTCTCTTCCTATTAACCTCACTTTCACTTCTAGTACTTTATATCCTATATTTGCTCTAATTTCTCGTTATAGTATGTAAAACAAAATGCCGTGTATTTCCGGATGATGTTACTTTCACATCCGTGGATAATATTTTCATCCGTATGTAAGAAACGGATATATTTCGATCCGATATAGAAGTGATAGTAACACCCTCGCCTTCATACATATTTATATATCTCTTCGACGATCGAAGTAATTTCTTCGAATTGAACAACGAAAGCTTTATACATTTTATTATTGCTTATACACCTGCAGATCACCGCTTACAATAACACACACACAATAATAACACACACACACAATACTACCAATAATAATAATACTTATCAATATCATCATCATCATCATCATCAATACGTATTATACATAAACTTATGTATCATCTGTTATATAAAACAGTATATGTATAATATATTAAAAACGGCATATGATATAAACCATATCTATCCCATATTATGTATCGTTAACCTCCGTCTCTTCCAAATTCCCCGAACGCCTAACCTAATATAAACACCCCGTGATTGCATACGCCTTCTGCTAACAATTAACGCCTTTGTCATTGCAGGAACAGGATAAAGCATAATTTGGAAACGTTATACCGCCGATTTGTAGAGAACATCACAAAACATTTCATTTCCATGTTTCGAGACAGTGACCACTGGTACTTAGTGGAGCCAATACCGAATGCTTAAACCAATCCCCAGATCTCCATCATTCCAAAACCATAAACGTTACTGATCAAATGTTTCGAAAATATTTCTGGCAGTTACATTTTGATTATAGATTAATGTGTTTTACGAAATAAGAACTTTACTTCCCCTGTGATGCATTGCAAAGGCTCAGGTAGAAAACATTGTTGTAATAACCAAAAATATCTACATATGTGTACTACTTTACATTTATAACAACTTTCATTTCCTTTTCATTATATGACCACTTTTCATACTTTGATATATAGCTCCGTGTTCTTTCAACATGGAATCATCTGTGTTTGATTGTCATTGGTTCCTGTCTTCATCTGACACATTATTGGTGCAAATAGTCCAATCCATTTTGGGGGTAGAATTTGCTAACAGTGATAGTCCATATGCATATAGAAGATATAAGAATTTCCGTTAAGCATTAACATCCGTGCATATACATCATCCTAAAACTATTGTGAAATTGTGCGTTACCAGATCTTTGTTGCATCACATGAAAAATGAAATGGGCTTAAAAGACCAACCTTATGTACAACAACTTTGATTAAAAAGTATTCAGAACAATTTAAATCCACTTTAAGATTGCAACCGTCGCTTTAACATGTTCATACATACTCTTTTGTGTTGCGAAGATATTATTATATACGTGTCAGCCATCAACGTAGTTTTTTCGTGGGCAAACAAAGGCACAACATCATTTCACTCCGCCTTCTTGCGACATGTTTCGTTGTGCATGTGGAAAGTCAGTGAGGTGCAGTGTGCATTATTTGCGCTTGTGTTATATTTAGGAAGATGACAGGAATTATTAATTGCTGTAATATGTGCTTGTCACGCTGAAGACTCGGGTTCGATTCCCCACATGGGTACAATGTGTGAAGCCCATTTCTGGTGTCCCCCGCCGTGAGCTTGCTGGAATATTGCTAAAAGCGGCGTAAAACCATACTCACTCACTCACTTAGTCTTTACTCAGATTAATAATCGGCGCATATGCATATACTTTAATTGCAGCATAATTATTGAAAAATAAAGCATACAACTTTATGGATGAAACCTTGTTTATTGTATAGAATAACGTTTCGATGTAGATTCTTACACCGTTAACAAGTTAAAAGTCTAACGTTGTAAGGATCTCTCAATGTCGCTCTATGCGATAAAACAAGAACTCACACAACTTCTAGAATCAGATGCTTCATGGGCATCTTGGATGGGATGGATGATAACACCAACAACGTATGGTATAGTTTACAACTTCTTTATTATTTACAACACGACGTTTCTGGGCTACTTCTTGCCCTTTCAGCAGGTGAATGACAGAATATGATTTACAAACAAAACATAAAGTGCGTACAGGAGGCCAGTGAGATGGAAGTAAAGATTGAGATGTACACACGATGTACAGCGTTCAAGAGACATTAAGGGCGGTGGGTAGCCTGAGTGGTTAAGGCGTTCGCTCGTCACGCCGAAGACCCGGGTTCGATTCCCAACATGGGTACAATGTGTTAAGCCCACATTTCTGGAATATTGCTAAAAAGCGGCGTCAAACCAAACTCACTCACTCACTCAAAGACATTAAGGGTATATTTATATTATAAATTGGAATGTACATAGTGTTTATACAACGAAAAGGATACACGTAGATTGGTAGCCACTTATATGAAAACAGTGATAGGAAGACACACATCAAAGCATGCACGATGATTAGAAGCAACATAAGAAAACATGTACAGTGAATAGACCGATCCAGTCTCGGCCGATAAGCCCCGCCCACTTCGTTTTTGACGTTAGGGGGGACAACCACTGGCAAATCACAATGGCGTCACCGCCGGCAGAGAGCGTTACGTGATCAAGCGAGACGTAGTTGATGAATTCTGCCTCTGGTGATACCTGGTATCCGTCGCTTGTGAATGTTATTTAAAGGAATTAGGGGTATACGCATGTGATTTTAATATATTTTAGCTGGCAGATTACAACTGGCGAGTGAAAATGAGTTACATGCCCGGACTAAAGCGTCTCGACTTAGCTGCTGAGACTGTAGGAAGCGTAATTTCTTTCGACTCTAATTGATCTATCTTTTGGCAGTTCACCGCCTCCGGTACAGGATATTAGCAGGGAAAGGATAACTGAATTTTGTTGTTTGGGTTTATAATTTTTTTATAAACTCGTGAACACAACCACATGGTCATGTTGCACATCGTTTCGGTATCTATAACAGAATTATCAACACTGCGCGTGGCGCCTTTGACTTATCCGTTTGCGTTGTTCAAATTTAGTTCAATAGTCACAGAGAGCATGGACATATCTATTTTAATGAATTAAAGAGAATGGTAAAATAAAAAGCGAAAATATTTCCTGTCTACTACTTCATGCACCTTATTTGTCTGTACAATTCAATGTTAACAAAATCAATCACAGCATAACCTATTTGATCTTGTTGGAAATCTGGAAAAGGTAGTTGGCTTGCTTTGTAAACAATATGTTTCCATGGACGTATCTGGACATACCCAGAAGCAAAATATTCAACGGTAGCTGATCTGCAGCAACTCTCGGTAGAGTTTTCTCAATCTGTGCACCATGATAAAATGACACTGAATATAAAGGAAATCATTTTTTAATCATCATTTTCCATTTAATTTTCTATATGTACTTTGTTGTGGAATTCTAATTTACATACAAAGGCTTCCACAATACTGGACTTCATGAACTGCCAGCGTTTATGTACAGGTATGTCACAGCACCAGAACACAAAAGAAGATCCAAGATACAGTCTGCACCTGTACACTAGCTGACCCATCTTCCAGAAATAGGAAACATGTGATGCAAAATTTTGGAACAGAGAATCCACAGTTATTCGAACAATTAACTAGCATTGAAATAGAATGTTACACAAAATACAAATGTAGATCTATTGTTTTTCATCAGAGATGTTTAACTGCTAACTACTAGTGTAAAATAAAGGTGCAAAGAATATATCCTATGTTCAAATATGTCAATACAATTATTGCTGCTTAATTAAACAATGATAATCTTTGTTTTATTAGATCTGAGACCATATCCTAGAGGACATAACACTGATTTTGATCTATTTCCTTTTCTGAGATACTTACTGGTGTCATAAAAATTATAGTAAAGTTGATTCAAAATTTGGTAAAAGTCATAACAAGGTTTAGGAAAACAGACATGAAAATGTCCTGAAGCGTTCACCTCCTACAAACCTGTGTGCAATTTAATATGAAGCTCATTTTGCAAATAACCGTCAACAAACCTTGAACAATTTGTCCAAATCCACCATCTTAATAAACTTACTAGCTTTGGCTCAGTCTTCAAATAGTAGTAACCTCCTAAAAACTTATGATTAATCAGAAGAATTACATCAAATATGGGTTTAATATATGTTTCAATCTTTATTCCATTACATGAAAAGTCACCCGAGATTTTTGAAAGTTATTCTGTTCAGGACTAGATAATGCCTGTCAGGGTTTGACCAAAATGTAGCCTTTGCTTTTCAAATATTCTGGATGTTGAAATAACTTTAATGAGTTATGATACTAGCAATCACTTTCAGAATTATCTTATTAGTAAATGTAGTATTTAAAAAAACATCTAAAAAGCAGGAGCCAAGAAACTAAGTTAATACCAAGTGATTGTCCTGCCTTGTGATATGATATGGTGTTTGTTTGCCTAGTTCTGCCTTAAAATCTAAAAATCTGATATGTCAATCATTAAATAATTATTTATTATTGATTAGATTATTAATAATTTTATTTCCCTTCCACGTTTACTAAAAAAAGCAAGATTCTGAGAAAACATGTACCTTGATATCATTTCCAGTGAATTAATCAAAATTACAGTTGTAATATTGCTCCTAAAATGTGCCATTATATGTGAATATTAATTTATGTGGTAACAAAACTTCAAATAATGTTCTCATAATTAAGATATACACTTTATTTCCTCTGTCCAATACTCCAGAAGTCACTATTCTTCTCACATAGTTTTCGTATTCGATCAGCCGGAGGATGGTAATTCGGGTCAAAGTCCCATGCAATTCTTTATAAAAATCTGGAAATATTTAAAGCATGGTTTATAGGCACTCATATGAACTAATTTTGATACTTGGATATTGCATGATAGGCAACTGCTGACACTGACAATATTTCCGTTTGAATAAAATATTACTCATCAGAATATTTTGCTCTGTTAACAAGATACTGTAGGCCCTTCAGATTGTGCTTATGAAACTTAAAACATCCTAAATGTGTGACAAATTGAAGAATATCTAAGAGCGAAGGGACAATATCCGCCACATTGTTCTTTCATGTAACATGCTTTTGCTATTTCGGTTGAACCCTAACCGAAATGAAAATTGTTTACATTGTGTCACAACTTTCTCGCCTGTCTCTCTTGAGCTTTGTGGCGTACCAACTCAATGCCTAGTAGTGACTAAAAACGTGAAGCAAAAAACAATTTTGTAGTTATAAGAATTGTCCGTGTTTTATAACACTTCGCAAAGTCTTAAACTGCTATTTGTTGTCATCAATTGGTAATGATTTTGCACATGTGCAAAAGTGTGCAAATTCGTGCAAATTCTCATCAGCAGGCAGACGTAGGTTTCCTGAACGATGGTGCAGACATTTAACTGATCGTCAGGCCTATCGCGTTTCTTGATCCGCCTCCATTTTTGTTGTCTTGACCGTAATGGTTTTGTTAAGGTACACATCAAATCGCAGCAATATGTAATAAATATAGCGAGTGTAAATGGCATAATTTGAAGCACATCGCTTCGGATGCATCGTTTGACCCCGGAAATAAGTCTGACAAATCCACACAACGCGCCCGGCCTGCTGATTGGCCAAAATTGACGCATGCGCCAGTTTTGATTGACAGACTGGATCGGTCTATTGGAAGCTTGTAAAAGTCTATTTGATGAAGGGGCAAGAAGTAGCCCAGAAACATCGAGATGTAAATAATAAAGACATTGTAAATCCATACCATACGTTGTTATGTTAACTTCTAGAATGCCGAGCAAACAATAAGCATAGTTAGTGAACTTCTTATCGTCGTTTTCCTTAAATTATACGCGTCAAGGGGATTCAGGTTTTTATCCATTCAGCGTATATGGATATACTCAGACCTCTGTTTAAATTAATCCCTATTTTGCTCAATCACATATATGAGACTGACCGTACTGAGTAAAGCGGTGATTAACACCGTTAAGCTTGGCTGTGTCTGTGTACACAATATATAATACATATATAATACACTTGGTAGAGCGCCTAATATCATTCTCAAAGATGCTCAGTGGCGCCAAGCACAAAGCCAGACATTATCTCATGTGAACAAACTCACAAACGTCCAGGATAGACCACAAACGCCTCGCTGTGGGGCAGGACTGAGTCTAAATCTTTCAGGAGTCAAGATGCCAAACACGGTCACACCTTTCAAAAGGACTCTCCGTCACCAAGGTTACTTAACTTCAACTGATCTGTTACCTGGCTCTATGAACAAGACCACACACCACCGGCCACCACTACGTAGTTGCTGTGTTCTCGGTTCGACACGACTGATATGTATTGTCTGCACATGCCTAACACTGTGCCAAGGACGGCGGGGTGTAGCCTAGTGGTTAAAGCGCTTGCTCGTCACACCGAAGACCAGGTTCGATTCCCCTACATGTGTACAATATGTGAAACCATTTCTGGTGTGACCAGCAGTGATATTGCTGGAAATTTGCTAACAGAGGCGTAAAGACATACACACCCACTCCTCAACTTTGCCACTTTTGATTGAAAATAGTACCCGTCAGAGTTATTTTCAGGTGCCAACTTCAAGCAAAACATTATAAAGATATTACCATTACTCAGGCAAGTATGCATCTGATGATTATTTTATTTCGATATTTGTAGAAGAAACTGTGTACATTACAAACATGATAATACATTTAACGTATGACATAGTTTGTTTTTAAATTACATAATTATTCAAAATATATAAAATTTTCACGTGCTTGTTGAAACATATGATTATTACATATTGTAACCCCTTGAGTCCTTAGTTGAAACTGGATAGTCAGCTGGAAATCAGTGCTTAGGAGAACTATGTGTGAAACTAACATGCCAAAAAAAGTGAGTTCACCAGTATGAGAGGAGACACAACCGTATGTATATGTGTATATGTAGAATGTAGAATAAACATCTAGTGTAATAAACCGCCACGTGCTTGGATACCTGCCTGAAGCTTGATGCTCATGATGTCAATCACTACATTGTCTGATCTAGACTCTGTTATTAACAGATTACCATAATATAGCTGGGAAACGTTTTAAATAAAAAAACACCAGACAAACAAACAAACAAACAATATATTGTCTCAATAATCGTAAC